TTTGGCTCAGGTCATGATCCCAGGGTCATGGGATAGATCCCCACGTACGGCTCCACACTGAGCATGGAGCCTGCCTAAGATTCTCTTTTTCTCCCTCTGCCCCTCTCCCCTGCTTGTGTGCACTCTCTTTCTCAAATAAGTTAAAAAAAAGAATGAAGTATTGCCATTTGCAACTACATGAATGGACCTAGAGGGTATTATGCTAAGTGAAATAAATCAAAGACAAATACCATATGATTTCACTTATATGTGGAATCTAAAATTTAAAACAAGTGAACACACAAACAAAAAACAAAAATAGACTTATAGATACAGAAAACAAAATATCGGTTACCAGAGGAGAGATTGGGGTGAGCAAAATGGGTGAAGGAGATTAAGAAATATAAACTTCCAGTTATAAAATAAATAAGTCATGGGGATATAATATATAGCATAGGGAATATAGTCAATAATATTCTAATAACTTTGTTTGGTGACAGATAACTAGACTTAACATGGGGATCATTTCATAATGTCAAATGATATACACCTGAAACTAATAGGATATTGTATGTCAAGTATACATCAATTAAAAAATAATAAGTAAATAAATTGAAGGAAAATGGTGTATTAGGATTCTGTTCTGCCAACTGATAGTACCCCAACTCAAACAAGATTTGGCAAAAGAAAGAATTTATTATAAGGTATTTCATGAAGGATTGATTGAACATTGAAATGGCAGAAAGGGCAGTGATGTGGCTATGCTTCTACTCAGTCCTGTGACTTAAATATCATCAGGATCCTCTTTGACTGTAGTCACTGCTCTGTGTGCTTTGGCTTCATTCTTTTCTCTTTCTTTGTTCCTGGATTGGGAAACTTGGCTGCTGACAACTCAGGAGCTTTACATCTTAACAGCACCAAACACTAGAAAGACTGGCTTGATTTCCCTCTTGCTACATCCAAAAATTGCTTGACCCTGCCTTGAGTCAAGTGCCCACCCTCTGCCAATCAGCTGTGGCCAAGGAGACTGAGTCACTTAGGGACACCTTCCAAGAAAATTGTATGACTAGAAGGAGGAAAGGAACATTTTCAGGAGAGGGGGATTTCTATTCCCAGAAGGAAAGCAGCAGCCCTTAGAGTGCAAACCAGTAGGTTTCTACTATAAAAGGAAACATTGATATGCTAAATGTGTCTGCTAAGGGCAAGAACTTCCCATTAACTAGGTATAATCATAGCCCCACCACGATCAGCTGCTAGTCAGAATAACATTCCCTGACTTAGGAAAAGCAACACAAAAACATATAGGAAGTATGCCTTTTCTCACCTGTGTGGTTGTGACAGAGACATGATATTCCTAAAATATAGGCTCTTCATTGTTATTTTATCCTTAGCAAATTGCATTTCTCCACTACATCATGAATCATCACTGACTTATTCAAAATAACCCACATGGTTTCTTATGAAAAATAAGAGAATAAAACCTATTATAAGCAAGTGATTTGGATATTTTCTTTTGTATTTATGTATTATCTAAATATATTAGAACATATTTCTGTTTACCTTCTATCCATTTTTTCTCTTAATTATGTTTTTCCAGTGGTCTATAGGAATAAATATGAAAATGGTATACCCCCCTTTTTTTTCTGAAAAATACTGCAACTCCTTTATTATATTTAGAAATCCAATAAACCTCTAATTACATAAAATAATTAATGGAAACATTGGGAATAATTCTTTTTGCCATTATTATTAGATTTAAAGTTTTTTGGGACATACTGTATTAGGTATAATTTGATATTGTATATGTTTATTTCATTTGAGGCCTAGGATACTGTTATCTTCCTTTAGAGGCAGCATATACTTTTGCTACTGGAAGGCTGCAACCTTCTGGAAGGCACTAACAAACCCAGGTGACTTAGTATTCTGGGGTTGAAATGATTGGAAGCTGGGCTTCATTCCTTGTGAAGGCCAGTTATTCCTTTTTACTTTATTCCTGGGGTTGTCTTTTGGTGACCCAGTTCAAAGCCATTATCAAAGACATTATCAAAGCCCCCCTCCCATAAAGTTGGCGTGCCTCAGATTTCCATTTTTGTTCCCTATGGCCAATGAGTTGTCTTTAGCTCTGCATGTCTCTCAACTTCTCAGGCACGTATTTCAGAATTGGCAGATACTTTTTCATATATGATGCTTCTTCTACTTGGAACACCGGACAGCTTGTCTCACATACCCCCTCATCCCTTATTCCTGGCTAACTCCTACTTCTACCCTTATGGCTTAGCCTAAATGTGATTCCTGGGAAACTTTCCTTGACTCCCCTTGAGTCACCATAGTATCCTGCCTTCCTTTGTCATAAATACTTATGACATTGAAAATTAGTTGCTTTGTCTCCCCTTACCAGACTCTACATTTTGTGATATCAGGAACAGTGTCTTCCTTGCTTATCCCTATGTTTCTGGGACATAAAACAGTACCTGGAATATAGTAAGGAAGAAAATATTTGTTCATGAATTAATTGATATTTCTCTATTCTTAAATGGCCTTCCATTTCCTACAGAAAACATTCCCACTTCCCATGCATGGGTATATAAGATTTTTGGTGATTTGAGGCCTGGATCTCTCACCACCCCATATTCTACAAGTATGCTTTGCCGTTTAACATCTCTGTATCTTTATTGTACTCTGCCTTCTGTGTGTCTTTTCTCCTTTTGTGGTCTGGAAAACTCTTGTTCCTCCTTTAATAGTTCAAGTTTCTCCTTCTCTTAGAAGTCACTTTGGGCTGATTTTTGTTCTTTTTTTGATACATTCAATTTGTTCTTTATCTGTGTATCTTACAACATTCATCACGTTGTGCTCTAATCGTTTATACGTCTATTATACCACCAAATTATAAGTTACATAAGGGTGGAAGCCCAGGTTTGATCACACTTCTTAGTTAACAATATTACAAGAATAGGCATATTAATTATTATCACTTCTTGAATAGCTTGACTTGGAAGTACATTTTCAAAAGTATCTTGGCTACAATTCTGTAAGTTAGATATTAGTTCCTAATTCCTAGTGCTTAGAAAAGCTAAATAACCTATCTAATGTCATGTAGCTAGTAATTGGTGGAACCAGAATTTGAATCCAGGTAGTCTGATCGCAGAGTCCAAACCATACTGTCTGGAGAGACAGAGGGAGAGAATGGCAGAGGGAGAGGAAGAAGGGATGTGGTGTGCTATTAAGAGGGGCAAAAATAGTTCCATGTGTGGCCAGATTTGTGGATGGGAGTGGTGGGAATGTGGAAAGTGAGGACAGAAGAGTTGGTTCAGGTTAAATTATTAATATCCTAGTGTATCATGATAAAGAGTTTAGATTCCGTCCTGTAGCTAATGAGTTCATTTTGGATGTAAGCTTAGAAATTACATAACTACAATTTAACATATAGAAAGACAGCTTTGGCTGTTTCCTGGCAAACAGAGGTAATTAGGCAACCCTCTGTGATAACGTTCAAATTATAGCAGGAGGTGGACTTCTGGATCCAGAATGTTGAGAATGGTTTTTGCTTCCATTTTCATCATTGCAGTCCACCTACACCTGTGGAAGAAGTTTTTTAGTAACCACAGGATGTTTCATTTATAAATGTAATACATGTCTGGTTATCTTAATAGCATTTGGATTTGGTCTTTATCCTCAATCTGATATTGTGTATTTATACAAAAATCTTTATAACTGTATATATACTTTAAATTATTTTTGTGTGATTAAATTATATTAAAATTCACAGTCTGAGCTCCATCAGTTCAGTTTCTGACTCTTGATTTCTGCTCAGGTCATGATCTCAGGGTCATAAGATTGGGCCCTGCATCAGTCTCTGCACTGGACATGGAGCCTTCTTAAGATTTTTGCTCTCTCTCTCTCCCTCCCTCCCTCCCGCTACCCCTCCCCTGCTTGTGTGCACACACACTCTCTCTCAAAAATAAACAAATTAACAAATATAAAAAAAATAGGGGCACCTGGGTGGCTCAGTTGGTTAAGCATCCACCTCTTGATTCTGGCTTGAGTCATGATCTCATGGTACATGAGATTGAGCCCTGTGTCTGGCTCTGCCCTGGTGGTGTGGAGCCTGCTTGGGATTCTTTCTCTCCCTCTTTCTCAGCCCCTCCCCTGTGCTCACCTATACACGCTCTCTCTTTCTCTCAAAATAAATAAATAAACATTAAAAAAAAAATGGGTGCCTGGGTGGCTCAGACAGTTAAGTGTCTGACTTTGGCTCAGGTCATGATCTCACATTTTGTGAGTTTGAGCTGAGTTTGAGCCCCATATTGGGCTCTCTGCTGTCAGTGCACAGCCTGCTTTGGATCCTCTCAGGGCACCTGGGTGGCTCCCTGGGTTAAGTAGCAGACTCTTAATTTCTTCTCAGATTCACGAGTTCAAGCCCCACATCGGGCTCTGCTCTGTTTTTTGTTCTGGGATCATCGGAACTGGGAAGGACATGATACAGATTCATGACAGTTCCTTAATCTTATTAAGAATACACTGTTGGCAACTATGACAATAACTAGCTATAATGAGTATCTGCCATGTGCCAGGCACTGTGCTGAGTATTTTACACACATGGTTGGTAATCACCACATTAAGGTAATGTGACCATGTTCTACAGATGAGAAAACAGGCTGAGAAAAGAGATTCATTAATAAACCTGAGGTCACACAGCTAGTAAGTGACAGAAACTGAATTTAACTTCAAATATGTCTGACTAAATTCCACACCTCTTTCACTGTATAAAATTTCTTTCAATCAACAATTGAGATAAATATCTGAGGAGATTCATATCTGTACAGAAGCAGCAAAAACTGAAAAAAGGAAGCAGGATTATCGGATTTCTAATTTTAAATATTATTTTATACTATGAAAATTTAAAGTAGAATTACAGAAATAGTTGTTAGAATTCTAAGTCTAATTTGTGAATTTTTCTAGTGGAAAATTGATAGTCTTGTCTTCAATGCAGTAGTCACCAAAAATGGATTTTCTGTCTCTAGTTTTAAGATAAAATTGGCTGCAGCATTGGCAAGATGTCGAATCAAACACGATGCCCTTTCAATTTACCACATTCTTCCAGAAACAGTTAGGAACCAGGAACTAAGGGCCTCCACTTTGCCACTTTATGCTTGGATAAATACTTGTAAAATCAGGTAAGAGTTTTAATCAAATCCTTTATTTTTATTTCAAGTTGCTAGCCTTTCTAAATAATGTGATAAGAAATACTACCTTTCTCCTCGGTGGACATGTCTAGGGGAGTGACTGGGAAATCATGATTTAGTTCGGGATGTTATCAACAAATTCCCTGAAAACTGGTACAGTGTCTCTGAAAAACAGTATGGAGGTTCCCCAAAAAGTTAAAAATAGAACTACTCTATGATCCAGCAATTACACTACTAGGTATTTACCCAAAGGATACAAAAATTGGATTTGAAGGGGTACATACACCCCGATGTTTACAGCAGCATTATCAATAATAGCCAAACTATGGACAGAGCTTAAATGCCCATCAATTGATGAATGGATACAGATACAATGGAATATAACTTAGCCATCAAAAAGAGTGAGATCTTGCCATTTGCAATGACATGAATAGAGCTAGAGGGTATTGTGCTGAGCAAAATGTCAGTCAGAGAAAGACAAATACCATACAATTCACTCATATGGGGAATTTAAACAAACAAAAAGATGAACACATGGGAAGTGGGGAGAAAAAAAGAGGGAAACAAACCATAAGAGACTCTTAATGATAGAGAACAAACAGAGTTGATCGAGGGAGGTGCCTGGGGGATGGGCTAGATGGGTGATGGGTATTAAGGAGGGCACTTGTTATGATGAGCACTGGGTGTTATATGTAAATTATGAATCACTGAATTCTACTCCTGAAACCAATATTGCACTGTATGTTAACTAACTAGAATTTAAATAAAAATTAAAAAAAAACACACCAAATTCCTAAATGGTAATTACATAAATATGTTAACTTTTCTGTCTTTAATTATCTTTTAACTTATTGTTGGCTAAAATTATAAGTTCCATTAAATGCAATAAATGCAGTGATACTTTTTTTGGGGGGGGGAGATGGTAATGTTAAGTGCATTTTTAATATATTTTTAATTACAACCTAATATTGCATATTTACAGCCCTGAAGAAGTTTATTATAGTTTGAAGAAAAGAGGCTATAATAAAGTCAAATCTGTATTGCATATTGATGATAAAGTCTTTGCTGTGGACCAACATTGCTATGATGTCTTAATTTTTCCATCTCGTCTTAAAAATAATCTTCTAAATATAGATCTTTTCAAAGATTATAAACTTATATTTCAGGTAAACATTTACTTTCATTGTGATTCTCAATAATCCTACTTATTCAAAGAATCTCTCTGCTTAAAAATAAAACCTAACACGGGGCACCTGGGTGGCTCAGTGGGTTAAGTGTTGAACTCTTGATTTCGGCTCAGGTCATGATCTCATGGTTTGTAAGATCAAGCACTATTGGGTTCTGCTTACAGAGCCTGCTTGGAAATCTCTCTCTCCCTCTCTTTTTGCCCCTCCCCCACTCTCTTTCTCTTTCTCTCTCAAAATAAACAAACAAAAAAAAACACTTAAAAAAACCCTAACAAACTGATTATATTTTTATAGATGATCAAAAAGGTTAATAAAGCCTAATTTTCAACCTTGAATAAAATTAATACCCCTACAATCAGTGTTCCTATTGTACTCTAGCATCTTTGTCCCATGTAAAGTTATGAAGAACATGTTCTCCTCAGACTCTATAGACGGGGATAATTGTATTGCTGGCAGCTGAAAGGCTGTAGTTTTCTCTTCCAAGGAAGGATTAAGAAAAATGCAATGAGGGGTACCTGGTGGCTCAGTCAGTTAAGTGTCCAACTCTTGGTTTTGGCTCAGATCATGATCTCACGGTTTTGTGAGGTCAAGCCCCTCATTGGGCTCTGTGCTGGCAGCTTGGAGCCTGCTTGGGATAATCTCTCTTTCCCTCTCTCTGCCCCACCTCCCAATTGCACTATCTCTGATTCTCTCTCAAAATAAATAAATAAACTAAAAAAAAAAAAAAGTGCAATGATACCTTTTCTACCTTCCATTTCTGGGGAAGATGCTAGTACCATCCTGAATTTGAAAATGCAATATGTAATACCTTCCCATTATTTCCTTAATATGGCCTTAGAGCCTTGATTTGTAAGAGGTATATGACGACTATCAATGTAGGGAGAGAATATGAGGAATAATGTGGTTTCAACAGAATGAAAAACAATTAGATTCAATAGAATAAAAAAATCCTCAGATTCCAATTCTTGCCTCAGATTTACCTTGTTCTTCTCAGTTTTATCCCTTGACAGCATCCATATTCTTGGGTAGAATGTCTTGGCCTTTATTCAGTAGTGATACCCTGCTGAGCACTGAGATCAACTACAAAAACTCATCTGTCTAGCCCCCTTTTATAAGCTTGTCAACCATCTTGTAATATCTGTTAACTAGCAGCAATTTAAATGATAGTGTAATGGGGAAGAAAGAATGGAAGTAGCTGATGAGTTTTCATCAAAGGGTAAGAATGGGAGCTTAGTAGGATATCACTAACCTATTAATTACATTTTGGGGGTTTTGGCATTGTCTTAGTACTATATAAAAGTTAAACGATAACTAGGCTAAACAAAGTTCAGGTCTTTGTTTTAAATCGGTTTCTATCAGTTATTTTTGTTAACTTTGTATTCTAACGTATATTAAGGTGTTTTAAACTCAAAAGGATTAGGTATCTCAACACTCCTACCAAGTACTTATTTTACCTAAGCAAAAAGAAATCAGTTCATGCCTCTTGTCAAACCCTTTGAAGTTCTAATCATATCGTTATCTTGTAGGACAAATCTCGAAGTCTCGCTGTCCATTCTGTAAAGGCTTTATTAAATATGGATGATGATATCTTAATGGTCAATACAGGTTCATGGTACACAGTTGCCCATATGTCAATATTAACAAATAATAATACCTCAAAAATATTTGTGTGTGGAGTAAAATCTCAAGCTAAGGATCCTGACCTGAAGAACCTTTTTACAAAAATGGGATGTAAAAGTATGTATAAATATTTATTTGTTTGGTAATTAATGTTATATGAAATTTAGAAATGTAAAAAATATTTGAATTTGTTACCTTTTGTAACATAAAAACTCTTTATATACTATACTCTTAAAATCTTCACTAATTCATATTATACCAGGCTCTTCTCATTGTTTAATATTGGTTAAACAACTATAGTTGAAATGAATGCATATATTGGCACTTTGGTATGTTGCTTGGCATTAGCTACTGTATAATTTGAAGTTCAAACAGTAGTTAAAGTAGGTGGTACAAATTATCATCCTTTAATATATAAGAGCACAGTCAAAGAAGTGCTTGACAGTGTTAATATCTAGGATTAGAAGCTAAGTCCCTTAGGCTTCTTATTTTCAAAATCTTTTTCATTGGATCATGCTGTGACCAAAGATAACATTTTATTATAGGTTCAGTGAGGCTGAAAAACTAAGCAAAACTTTTGACAGATTCACATCAGATCAAGGTGATCTGGGATTGTTAGTGCCAGATGTAGCTGCCTACCAGAAGCAAAAGTTAATTTCCTCTGGAAGAAAATAACATCATCCTAGGTCTCATATTATCTCCTAATTGTTTTCAAATACAATGTCTGGCACTCATTAAAAAACAAACCAAAAAAAAGACAAACAGGAAGAAAAGATATGACTGATATAAAGAGAAAAATACTACAATAGGAGCAAACCCACAAATGGTCCAGATACTAGAGATATCGGATGTGGACTTTAAAATAACTATGATACATATGCTAAAGAGACTAAATGCCAAGTTTCAGAATTTCAGTAGACAACTGGAAACCGTAATTTTTTTTAAGTCAAAAGAAAATTCTAGAACTAGAAAATACAACATGTGAAATTAAGAAGTAAGTAGATTTAACAGTAGATTAGGCAGAGCTAAAGAAAGAATAAGCTAACTGACAAACCACAAAAATATCCAGACTGAAGCAAGGGGAAATAAAGGGTTAATAATATGGAAAAGATCATAAAACACACATGGGACCCAGTGATTCAGTATCTTCCATATGCTGTGATGGGAACACAAAGAGGAAAAAATGAATTAAGAGATGATATTTGAAATTAAGGCTGGGAGTTTTTCTTTTTCTTTTTTTTTTTAATTTAAAAAAAATGTTTATTTATTTTTGAGAGAGAGAGGCAGAGTGCAAACTCTGTGAGCACAGAGCCTGATGCACAGCTCAAACTCAGGAACCATGAGGTCATGACCTGAGCTGAAGTCGACACTTAACCACCCGAACCACCCAGTGCCCCAAGGCTGGGAATTTTTCAAAATAGATGAAATGAAGCCACAGATTCAAGAAGCCCTATGAACTCCAGTAAGAATAAATATATAGAAAACATATTAGGTACATTGTGGCATAACTGCTGAAAACCAAAGACAAAGCAGCCCAGGTGGTAATATATATTACCTTTAATGGAAAAGCAATAAAACTAAAAACTTAACTTTTTAACAGAAATAACTGAAACCGGAAAACTATTAATGTATTCATAGTGCAGAAAGAAGCTACCAGTTAGATTTCTAAAGTCAGCAGAAAGTCAGTGGTATGTGTTATATCTGGGGCAGTCAATACACAAATAATTAAATAATATTTAATAGCTAAGAAGGGGAAGAAAATGGAATATGGAGTTGAAATACCAATTAACATAAAAAAGGTAAGACAAAAAAAGGTAAGACAAATAGAAAACAGATTAAATACTTTAAAAATATATGTATTTTTATACATATATATTTATAAGAGAATATATATGTATAAATATATTTTTGTTTATAAGAGAAACCCTTTACATAGAAGGATATAAAAAAACTTAGAAGGACAGAAAAAGATATACATTACATATACCAACAAAAGAGCTATTGACAAAGTAGATTTAAATAAGAAACATTACTAGAAATATAATTATAACATGTTCATCAGGAAAATGAAAGAGTATGAAAGTAGTATGTGCTTAATAACATAATCTCAAAATGCATAAAGCAAAATTATCCAGAACCAGCAGAAAACATACTCTGTATATAGAAAATCCTTAAAAAAATTGTATGAAAAAACTATTAGAACTAATCAATGAATTGAAAGACACAAATATAAAAAATCAATTATTTCTATACACTAGTAATAGATAATCAAAAGGTGAAAGTAAGAAAACAGTCTTATTTATAAAAACATCAAAAACATCAAACTTCCTAATCAATGTTGTATTGTGAGTCATAGGCAATACGGTAAAAAAAGAAAGGAAGAAATAAAAGATATAAAAATTGGAAAGGAAGAAATAAAACTGTTTTTTATTAATAGGTTACATAGTTATATATGTGGAAAATCCAAGATAATCTACAACAAAACTATAGATTTCACAAATGATTTTTGTAAGGTTGATAGATACAAAGTCAGCATACAAATTCAATTTCTACCTACCAAAAATGAAAATCTGAAAATGAAGCAGGTATCTTTTATAATAGTACCAAAAACCATAACACATTTAGGAGTACATCTAATAAAAGATGTGTAAGACCTCCTCGTAAAACTATAGACCATTACTGAAAGACCAAAGACCTAACCAAATCTAAGAATAAATCACGTTCATGAACTGAAAAATTCTTATAAAGATGACCTTTCTCTCCACGTTGATCTTCATGGATTGAGTTCAATCCACAGGACACTGTAGATTACTGAGATTTTTTTTTTTTCAGTAAATGGGGGTAGAAAAAATGAAACTGACCTGTACTTCACGCCGTCAACACAAATCTAGAGTCTCCTAGAATTTATTATAGGAGAAACACTTAATGACTGGGATTGGCAGATTTCTTAAACAGGACACATAAAGCACTAATCATAAAAGAAAAGATTTATAAATTGGACTGTAGTAAACTTCTGAAAAATTTTAAATTTCTGTGCATTAAGATTAAGAGAGTGCAAAGGCAAACTGTAGAGAGGGAACATATAAACTAGTGAAGAGTTTTTATCCACAGTGTAAAAAAAATTCTTACAAATTAACAGTGAATAGACAACCTAACTGGAAAATGGGCAAGAGACATGACCAGGCATTTCACAAAAGAGGATATCCAAATGCCAAAAAGAAAAAAAAAAAAAAATGAAAGTCGTCAATCCCATTACTAATCAGGGAAATGCAATTAAAATCACAACTTACCGTCACATGTCCACAGAATGATTAAAATGAAAAATATTGGCAGTACCATGTACTGGCAAGGTAAAGAGCATTGGGAAGGCTCAAACACAGCTGGTGGGACTGTAAACTTGTGCAATCACTCTAGAAAGCTAGCATTAATCATTAAATTGAATATGTACATACCAATGACCCAGCATTTCACTTCCAGTTACCCTCTGAATTTTTACCTAGTTACCAAGAGAGAATAGGAACCTCTAAGTAACCAAGCAGTGGAGGAAGGAAGTTTCTTCTTTTAGAAGTATTCTAGCTAATATGAAAAAGGTATGACAGAATTAAAATAGGTGACAGAATTAAAATAGGTCTATTTTGCAACCTCTTTGCTGGTGCCAGAAAGATAACTTAGTGGATAAATATGACATCACTTGTGAAGTAGATTTGCTCCCCTCTCCACTCTCTCCACACCCCCCCACCAAAAAAAAGGAAAGAAAAAGAAAAAAAAAGCCAGAATCTAATTAAGCTTCTAAAGATACAACTAGTAAGTTATAAGAAGCACAGAACACAGGAACATGTTAGAGTACACTCTGGGGAAGCAATTAGCAAAATCCAGACTGTAGAAAAGCTGTCCGTAGTACAAATAACCATGTTTCATTAGGGAATAAGTTGTAAGAAAAAATGGAAAGGGAACCTATCAATAAGAAGAAATTTAAAATAAGGCTTATCAACTAATTGCAATGTATGTACTTTATTAAAATCCTGATTCAAACAAATTGTAAAAAACTTTTGTCATGTGTGAGACTATGGGGAAATTTGAGCCATGATTGGATGCCATTATTTTTTAATGATGATAAGGAATTCTTATTTTTTTAAATTTGTGTGGTTATATTTTTAAAGGAGTTCTTTTAGAGCTATGTGGTGAAATATTTATACATTTAAAATAATATGGGTTGGGGTGGAAGTGGGTACAGATATAGATGAAACAGGATTGGGCATGAATGGTTCACTGTTGAATCTCCATGATGGGTACTTGAGAATTTATTATGTTTTTATGTGTGTTTTTGTATGTTTGAACTTTTCCAATCGAAAGTTTAAAATAGAAAGAAAAAAAAAAAAGGCCCACTGATTAAAAAAAAAAAAAAAAAAAAAAAAACAGTTTCAAAACAGACAGAATAGGAAGATGAACAGGGTGATCAGACAAGAGAAAGGGGGTGGGGGAACAATTTTAGTGATGACTCCTCATCACTGGGAGTCATTGCAGAAGTGGAGGGGTGGCTTGAAGATAGGGGCACAGATTATTATACTCAGTGAGGACAGACTTCCTTCCAACTAAACTAAAGTCCTTAAGGAACATTAGACTGCCTCATAAATGTTACTGATCCCCATTTTTTTCTCTGAGGAAGATGGAATATAAAAGGAGATTACAATGGGAAAGGGAAATAACCAACACTGAGCATTTACTATGTGCTAGGCACCATACTAAACTGCTTTATTTCAGTCTTCACCACAATTAGATGAGGCAGGCATTGTTATCCCATTTTATGAGTGAGAAAATGGGGGCTCAGAGAGATGAAGTCACGCAGCTAGTAAATACCGAAGTTGGGAGTCATCCTTGGGTGTCTCTGCCCCCAAAGCCCATTTCCCTCCACTATGTCGTAGTATTTTAAAAGAATCTGAAGTTCAGGGCACCTAGGTGGCTCAGTCGGTTAAGCATCTGATTTTGGCTCAGGTCATGATCTCATGGTTTGAGCTCTGTTTTGGGTGAGCTCAAGCCCTGCTTCGGGCGTATATGAGCCTTGCTTTGGGTAAGCCCTGCTTCTCTATCGCTCTCTTTCCCTCTCTCTCTCCCTCTCTTTCTCTGCCCCTGATGGGATTCTCTCTCTCTGCTCCCCCCCCCCCCCCCGGCCCCTCGCTCACTTGTGCCCGCTCTCTCTCGAAAAAAAAAAAAAAAAAGTAATCTGAATTTCAGAATGAAAAATTATATTTTATGTAGGAGATATTTAAATTTCAAAATTGTTCTCTCAAGTGAAGGAGAAAGAATTCATGTGTTAACTCTGATAAGTTATCAGAGAAGAATAGCTCTCTTTTCTGACTATATGAGATGACTTTTTGTGAGGCTGAGGATTTAAAAATGAAAAATGATAGGGGCGTCTGGGTGGCTCAGTCATTTGAGTGTTTGACTTCAGCTTCGGCTCAGGTCATGATCTCATGGTTGGTGAGTCTGAGCCCTGCATCTGGCTCTCTGCTGTTGGCACCAAGCCCGCTTCGGATCCTCTGTCCCCCCGTCTTTCTGCCCCTTTCCTGCTTGCTCTGTCTTTCAAAATAAATAAACAGTAAAAAAAAATGAACAATGATAAATAGATCTAATTACATACTGTATTAATATTTTTAATGAATATTTTTGCACTAATTGTTCTGTTTTTTCCCTCCAAGATATTGAAATACTTCATGAGGCATTTCTGAACATTGAATCAAAGGATCATAGATTGCAGAAAGTTAAAGTGATTCTGCTGCTTCCTCACTGCTCAGGACTGGGTGTTAGTAATCCAGTGGAGTTTATATTAAATGAGCATGAAGGTACTTTAAAATTTTTTCATTTATAAATTATTGAAATTTGTTGATAAATGTCAAAAATAAAATTATTTAAAATCACTAAAATGACCTATCAAATATATCTTATTAATAAATAGCTACCATGTATAGAGCACTTACAATGTGTAAAGTACTTTACATTCATTGTTCATTGAATACTTATAGCAATCCTTTGTGATATGGGCAAGGGGGAATATTAAAATTACTTATTTATTTATTAATATTTATTTATTTTTGAAAGAGCACAAGGGGGGAGGGGGAAAGAGTGGGGAGAGGGTCTGAAGCAGGCTCTGTACTGACAGGCTGACAGTAGTAGTGAGCCCTATGTGGGGCTCCGACTCACAAAGCGTGAGATCATGACCTGAGCCGAAGTCAGACGCTCAGCTGACTGAGCCACCCAGGTGCCCTAAAAAAATTTAATAATAGGGGGCGCCTGGGTGGCGCAGTCGGTTAAGCGTCCGACTTCAGCCAGGTCATGATCTCGCGGTCCGTGAGTTCGAGCCCCGCGTCGGGCTCTGGGCTGATGGCTCAGAGCCTGGAGCCTGTTTCCGATTCTGTGTCTCCCTCTCTCTCTGCCCCTCCCCCGTTCATGCTCTGTCTCTCTCTGTCCCAAAAATAAAAAAAAAAAATAAAAATAAATAAATTTAATAATAGGAATGATGTAGGTAATCAGAACACATGTTGGCCGGTATGCTCTTCTGGTATATACCAGTGCTCAAGATATAGGCATTAAAATTTATCAGCATTTTATAGATGAAAATACTGAGACTCAGAAAGATTAATTCATTTTTATAAGGTCACACAAGCTCTAGTTAGTAGCAGAGCTAGAATTCAAATTTAGATCAGCCAAACTCTACAGACTGTGCTCTAAAATGATCCTAATTAAATTATAATCACACTATTTCAAACTCAAGACTTCTATAATCCCTAGTATGTATGTTTTCTGATATTAATACTTCAGATTAAGTATTAATTCTAGAAATATTTTACTTCTTTAAGAAATTATAAAATATTAACATTACCATTTATTGAGCACTCATATATAAGGCACTGAGCTAAGCACTTTGCTTTATTTCACCAAATCCTCACAAGAACTCAATGAGTTAGTTACAGTAGTGTCCCCTTATCTGTGGGGATTTGTTGCAAGACCCCCAGTGGATGCCTGAAACCATAGATATCACTGAACCCTATGTATACTACATTTTTCCCTGTACATATGCCCCTATGATAAGGTTCAGTTTATAAATCAGGCACAGTAAGATATTAATAACAACAATAATAAAATAGAGCAGTCATAACAATATTCTGAAATGAAAGTTATGTGAATGTGGTTTCTTTTTCAAAATATCTTACTGTACTGTACTTACCCTTCTTGTGATGATGTAAGATGACAAAATGCCTACCTCCATGATGAGATAAAGCCAAGTGAGTGACGTAGGCACTATGATGTAGCCTTAAGTTCCTAGTGATCTTCTGCTGATTCGGCAGAAAAAGGATTATCTGCTTCCAGGACTGTGGTTGACCTCCAGTAACTGAAACTGCAGAAAGCAAAACCACGGATACTGTACTCTTGCTTCTACATTTTACAAGTTCAGAATCTGAGGCCCAGAGGTGTAGAAGTGTCCCAGGGCCATGTGACTAGCGTCAGAGCCCAGATTCAAACACAGCAGCTCTGACTCTGAGGCTGGCGCTCTGAGCCACTTTTTAAACCACAGTGTATGGCCGTGCATTGACTGAAATGCATTCTTACTGTAATCTGTTCCTATTGAAAGCCCTAGTTGAATGAAGTTAACTAGAATATTAGATAAGACATTTCACCAACATTCAGCAGATAGTGAATACTTGCTTTCTGTTTCTAGCAAGGTCAGGATCAAAAGTGAGAAAAAAAAATGGAGGGAAAGAAACTCATATTTATTGTGCACAAGTATGTCCCAGTCACTATTCTAGGTGGCACCCATCACTATCACTTAATATTCACAATAACTTTTTGGGGATAGTGTTCTTTTGTTATCTCTGTTTCACAGTGGGGGAGGGGAACAAGACTGAGAAATCTCACAAGTTGCTTAAGGTCACGTAGCTAGTAAGTAGAGAAGCTGGGATTCAAATTAGATTAGTTAGCACATTCCACGATACCGGACAGTCTGGAACTGGGTTTACACTGCACCCCGTGGAATTTTTGACTTGCTATGGAAAATGTCCTCGCAGTGAGAGTAAAACAGAACAACCAAGTCAAGTGGAGAATAGTGAGCTGAGAAACTTTCTATGTTAACTGGGAAATAATCAAATAAGAAGAATTAGTAGACATAGGAAAAGAGGGGAGGAGATAGCTGCAGCTATAATAGACATAGCAGTGAAGAGAGTTAGAGCTCCCAACTGAGAAACTCTGGCCTTATTCTGGGTCATTTTGAAGTGGGAATGCAGAAAAAAATAAACCATAGGTAAAAATGAACTCGGGGTTGGGAAAGGAGCTCAAAGGGAACCACAAGAGATGAAAAGGGAGAAAGTAAAAAGTTTCCTGGGGACGCCTGGGTGGCTCAGTCCATTAAGCATCCAACTCTTGATTTTGGTTCAGGTCATGGTCTCACAGTTCATGGGATGGAGCCCCGCATCGGGCTCTGTGCTGACAGTGTGGAGCCTGCTTGGGATTCTCTCTCTCCCTCTCTCTCTGGCCCTTCCCTGCTCTCACATGCACTCTTTCTCTCAAATAAACTTAAAAAAAAAATTTTTTTTTTAAAGTTTCCTAGGTATTAGCAATGTTCTGAAAGCTTTGCTGAAGAGGCAAGAGGATAAGCCAAGAAGTCGTCTTTGGCAAACCTGGAAAAAGGAGGGTTTCCTCTGAGGAAGTAATAGCCAGAGCAAATAAGAAGCTGTTGACCTAGTGCCAAGGGTAGAAATATGACTAATAAGTTTAGTGGGGATGAATTGAAAAGACTTGGATACTAGGTGGAAGGGAAAAATCATGAATTAGTTTGAAAAACATTTTAACATTGAAAAATGTGAGAAACATTGAAGAATACATGAAATTGTTCCTTGCTAATAACTGGGAATTATTTTAAAATGGGATGAAGCAATAGCACTGCTAGGAATTTACCCAAAGAATACAGGAGGGCTGATTCGTAGGGGCACATGTGCCCCAAGTTTATAGCAGCACTTTCAATAATAGCCAAAGTTTGGGGGCACCTGGGTGGCTCAGTCGGGTAAGCGTCTGACTTTGGCTCAGGTCATGATCTCCAGGTTTGTGAGTTTGAGCCCCACATCGGGTTCTGTGCTGCCAGCTCGGAGCCTGGAGCCTGCTTTGGATTCTGTGCCTTCCTCTCTCTCCACCCCTCCCCCGCTCACACTCTGTCTCTCTCTCTCAAAAATAAACATTAAAAAAATTTTTTGAAAATAGCCAAATTATGGAAAGAGCCCAGATATCCATTAACTGATGAATGGATAAAGAAGATGTGGCATATATATATATAATAGAATACTACTTGGTGAAGAAACCTTGCCATTTGCAACAACTCGGATGGAACTGGAGGGTATTACGCTACGTGAAACAAGCCAGTCAGAAAAAGACAGATATCATATGTTTTTTCATAACAAATGTGGAATTTGAGAAACTTAACAGAAGACCATGGGGGAAGGGAAGGAAAAATAAGTTACAGAGAGGGAGGCAAACCATAAGAGACTCTTAAATATAGAAAACAAACTGAGGGTTGATGAGGGTGGGGGGTTGGGGGGCCGGGGAAAATGGGAGATGGGCATTGAGGAGGGTACTTGTTGGGATGAGCACTGGATATTGTGAGATGAATGTGATAACCACTATGCTACAGAAACATGGATGTTGTATGTAAGTGACGAATCACAGGAATCTACTCCTGAAGCCAAGACTACACTGTATACACTGTATGTTAGCTAATGTGACAATAAATTATTAAAAAATACATACAATAAAATGGGGTGAAAGAGGTAAATTGATGTGGTTTTATAGTATAATAATGTATAAATAGTCCTTTTAAAAGTGGTGAAGAGAGAGAGAAAAATGTGAAGTGTAAAAATAAATTGGGAAGAAATGGAGTTTAATTAACCTTTACTGATATTACTAGAATGGGGAACAGCCAAATATATGGCATAAATAATTGGCTCTCCTACTCCAGGGACTTACCGAGAGGCAGAATAAAGAGAAGTTAGAAGTTTGGACTCTGGTCAGATTTCTGAGCTAAAATATGGCTCTTCACCTAGTAGCTATATGACAGATAAGTGGTTTAATGTATGTTTGAACAGTTTTCTTAATGTTAAAAGGGATAATAATGTTTCAGGGGGTTGACAAAATACTGTATACAAAGTAGTATTCAATACATCCTAGTTAATATTATCAAGAAGTATGTTTTGAAAATTTTTTAAGTTCCTTTAAGAGCTTCTTGATCTGTTTCTTAATCTATGTAGACTAGATTTACTTCTCTGAATTCTTTCCTTCCAAAATTTCTTTCGGTAAGTTAATGTTTTTAACTGTATCCTTTTGTGTTCTTTCCTACTCAGCTCTGATTATAGCTCATCAGTTTCTGCCTTGGAAATAAATCTTTTTTCTTTTCCTCTATTAGGCTCCACACTTACAGCATTCTCGCTTCTGTGCCTAAATGACAGAACCTAATCTAAGTTAGCTTGTAGGATGACTATCTCAGAAGAAGTTAAAGAAGAAATAAAAACAATACTAAAACCAAACTAAACAAAATTACTCTTATTTTGTTTTTTAATTTTGACTCAGCGTTTTTATAATACTCTTTATTTAGTTTTAATAAATATTTTTCACAAAAACTGTTATTAATAGGGAAAATGGTTGGGGCGCCTGGGTGGCTCAGTTGGTTAACCATCTAACTTCGGCTCAGGTCATGATCTCCCTGTTCATGAGTTCAGGCCCCACGTCCAGCTCTGTGCTGACAGCTCAGAGCCTGGAACCTGCTTCCGATTCTGTGGTTCCCTCTCTCTTTTCCCTTCCCCTTACACTCTGTCTCTCTCAAAAATAAATGAACATTTAAAGAAAATAGGGGAAATGATTGAAAAATTAAACAATGTGATTATAGCAATACATGAAAAACACCTAATAGTGATATATTTAAAAGTATTTCTTTGCTTTTAGATACAGGTGTACTTAAAGATTTCTCTCAAGGAGGTACATCAGAAGATAAACTTCACATTCTTGTTCAACAGCAATATGAACAGCTAACACATGCAATGAAATGTAAGTTTATTATCAGTTCAATCTTAAAATACATTGTAAATCTTAGAAACATTAATACTTCATTTATCTATTATAATCAGGCAACGAAGTGTGAGCCATAAGTGAATTTTCCAGAACACTCAGCCTTAGCACCTTCCAATATCAAAGTATTTATTTTTACCAATTCAACCTGTCTTTTATTATTTTTTTAAATGTTTTTATTTATTTTTGAGACAGAGAGACAGAGCATGAGCAGGGGTGGGGCAGAGCAGGGGTGGGGCAGAGAGAGAGGGAGACACAGAATCCGAAGCAGGCTCCAGGCTCCGAGCTGTCAGCACAGAGCCTGACATGGGGCTCGAACTCACAGACTGTGAGATCATGACCTGAGCCAAAGTCAGATGCTCAACTGACTGAGCCACCCAGGCGCCCCTCGACCTGTCTTTTAAAAATAGATGTTGTACTATCATTTGTAGCATAGGTTAGCAAGGACAGTTTCTTAATGCTGGAGTAAAATAATTATGTATATCCATGATGGAACAGTTTTATTTTCTCTGTTTCTTTTCTTTGGCTTCTTATTTGATGTAATTTTTCTGTTGTCATTGTGCCTGGCCATATTCTACAATCCAAATTTTAATCAAACTCTTAAGTCTCTTAGTGCTAAATAGAGATTAATAGAGAAATACAATTATAAATAAAGCCTGAGTAAGTTGAAGTCTGAGTAAATGAGGTCTTTAGGTATTTATTTTATTGTTTCAATCACTCCATTTAGATTTGAGTACCATTTAGATTTTGAGGAGCATTGCCCTCAAATGGATATGGATATGGAAAATGGAGAAGTCTCTGAGAAATTACATAAACTATTATTAATTCAGTACATGTTTATCAAGTGCCTACTCTGGGTCAGGCATTATCCTGGATGTTAGGGATATGAGTGTGAATAAATCCTGATCTCCAAAGGCTCAAAGATAAGTATACAGGTATAGATAATTCAGTACATAAAGATATAACATAATGAGGTAGAAATAAGGCAAATGGTAAGCACAGAGCAGGTCTGCTTTTTTAGTTGATGCTCTAATAAACATTAATTTAAATATGATAATATGTAGGGGCGCCTGGGTGGCTCAGTTGGTTGGGTGGCCCACTTCAGCTCAGGTCATGATCTTGTGGTCCGTGAGTTTGAGCCCCGTGTCAGGCTCTGTGATAATATGATAATACGAATATGTATAT